ATTAGTTTACATACTTCTCTCAAATCACCCTCTTATTAAAGTCAATTTATAGATAAAGACCTAAAAATATAAGTAACTGTGTACCTTGTTATAAAATATCAAAGTAAAGAACGTCATTACGATGTGAGCGTAATATACTCGCATCCCATTATCCAGGAAAGGTCACGACACGACAAGTGCACGTACTTATGTATTTTGTGACGGTAATATATGAGGGACGAGGATGAGCAGACATGCCTTGAGGTATTTCATGAAAAGGTTATACCAGTAAAAGTTTCAAGAACAGGTATCTTATGTGAGTATACACTCAATGAAAGTTGAGTCACCTTTAACAGGTTATGGTAAAAATTATAGTAGATATTTCTCATTCAAATAATGTAATAAAAAAACTTTTTAAAAATTCAATATTTTTTTTGGATAGTAGGTATTGTATAGAATAGAAATATTTTATTGAACACTTACACAAACACATGTTTGATAAAAAGTTAATAATAATTATAATTCAACGCAGAAGTCTGCATAAAAACAAATCATACGAACCCAAACTCTACAATGTTGTGTTTTTTAATTACAAAGTTCCCATGGCCACCTTGCAGGTCCATCATCAGATCGTGGGTATTATCTCGGTCCAAATTCTTTGTCAAGCCAAATCAAATACCTGTATGCCAATAGCTGTTGACTTTATGACCGAATTTCAACTCAAATATAAAATCGTGTGATCTCGTGATACACTAACTGAATAAAATAAAACCCTTAAATATTTGTTCGTTTTCTAGTAGGATTTGTTTTATAGCTTCAAAAAAATACATACCCTGTGAAAATTGTATCTAACTACACACTGTAAACTAATTTCTAATTCCGTCTGTCCATCTATCGTTAGAAGGTTAAACGAACGAACAGCGGAGTCTTTTTAGTAGGCTCCCGTTTTTACCTAAAAACATATAAATTTACGAAAACAAATATAATCCAAACAAACACAAACTTCACAAATCATTAATCCATAATCGATCAATTTATAATCTCATTAATCATACATGTATTCCATGGTCATGTCACGACACTCATGCAAATAAACATCACTTACCGAAGTGAGATTTAAATTCGCAAGCTTATCGGGTCAACGAATATTAAACACTTCCTGACTCGCACTCCTCACTCCTATATGACTGTACTATACACATACATATTATTCCAGCTTGAAATACTATATTTACAAATCCGAAAGACAGTTCTAAAGCACCATTGCAAAAGCAATCGATAACCAAATATGCTTTAGCGGATATTAAATTCGAGGCAAATCTAAGTGTCATAATCGTTTGACGCCGCCATCTCTTTTCAGGGCAGTCTGGCTCCACGCCAATCGTTGGCTCCGTGACCAGAGGCGCATAACCACTCCATACAAATTTGAAATTTAATTTGCGTGATAAATGGATTAAAAAGTACCTCTGATATGAAACGGCGCGGACGTGCCTCCGTCCACGTACATTTTAATCTTTAGACCGATTACACGCTACGATTTTTTAATCTTACTTTCATGCAACTTTAGACAAGTTACAGAAAATCATTAGCACAGAAATAAGCTCGATTGGCTTTATTAACCAGGATCACAAAAGTGGCCAACAAGACGACGAGCCAACGAAGTGTAAAGACAAAATAGCCCTAAGATGAAATACACTTTATGATTATTATCAATGGTTTACGTACGTTTACAGGTTTATTTCTTCTTTGTTTCAAGTACAACGATTGTTCTTGTATATGGCCAAGCCACATCTTTTGACTAAGCTGTAGAGTTTGTAAGAGCTTATACGGTTAGAGCACGAAGAGTGAGAAGCTTGGTTCCACATAATATCTGATTACTTTTTAAGGGTGCGAGCCATATGGTGTCGTCTTGGCAACATTTTACATGAAAATGTTTTTGTGGGATTTCTACTGTATGTAGTTCTACAATACTAACGGCTCCACAAACTATTTTTGGGCTTCACGAAAGTACTTATAAGCATATGTGCGAATTATCGGTGTTAAAGTAAAATATGTACCTAAGTTGGTAAATCATTAATAATAAACATTACACTTAAAAGGTGAATTTTGTTATATTTTAGCGCTCTTACTTGGTTTCCAAGAGAGTTCTATTGTCAAAAAAGTTTGAGTTCCGCTATACTATAGGGACGACTAAAACATTAAGCACTAAAAAATTAAGCAATTTTAAACAAACCCTAATAGATTTGGAAAGTAATTATTAAAGAGATAATTTTAAATTAATTTGGTTGAAACACTGACATTTACTATTTTTTTTTTACATTTACTAATTTACTTTATTAATATTGACAATGAAGATGATTGACATTTGCAATCAACTCCAGCAGAGTTAAGAGTAGGCTCTCATATATTCTTTATTAGTAAGATATCCATCGCGTCGTCCATCACAAAAGTTCTAGTAATCGAAGTGTATAAGAAGCCTTAACGCATACGTTTTTTTTTTTAATAGTACTAAGCTACGTTTAGAGTGACTTTCTTATTTTCTCATGCCTTTCTGAATCATTTCAATATTACTTGATTTAATAATAACACCAAATTATGTAAAAAAAATATGGCCATAAATGAATATTATTTAAAGAGTAAACAATTTACGTATTCTAAAAGCTCTCAATAGTAGCTTAATGTAACAATATAATAATAGTATTTATATTACTTAATATTATTGAACTACTTAAAATTTTGCTGTCGCGAGAGCAATAGATCGCCTGATCATCGTATGATAGCGATTTTAGTCGCTAATTATAAAAGCGAAAGTTTGTAAGTTTGGTTGTTTGTTACTTCATCATGCAAAAACTACTGAACGGATTTTTATGAAAATTGGTAAATGGGCAATACTTAGTCTGAATTTACACATAGAGTAATTTTTATTTCATTAAAAGATTCCCTGGGGTTGGAAGAACCTCCAAGGGCGCCTATTTTTGTGAACCCTGCCTAAACGGTAAGAATGTAATGTAGTAATGATATTATTGTTTAACTAATAAAATAATAAAAGCAATGATGGTTCCGACAGCGTTTAGTAACAAGAAACACCTGTTTGAGTCGAGATTGGCAGTCTGCATTCCCAAGAAAATTATCCAGAGAAGGGTAGGGCTTATACATGAAAAATATTAGCTCAGTCGATTGTTGTTCCGTCCCAACACCGACCGGCCCAGCCCTTGCTGGGGATCATCAACAAAAAGAGACGGCTGTTAGGTCTACCGTGTAACTACATTAGCTTCGAATCGAAAAAATTATGGAATAATTAATTTACTTTATTTTAAAAACAATAATTATTTCTTATATCAATTTAAAAAGAATATAGATTTGATGAAAACTAAAAACACCTTAAAAAATCTAATAATAATTCTTATAGGTACCTACTTATAATTTCAATAAACTCAATTTGAATTAGGGCGAAGATATGAAGGCTAACTTTTTACAAGTCCAACTTCAAATGAAGTTTGAATTTGTAAATTTAAGAATAATTTTACATCTTTTTCTTTTTACAAATAAACTTTCCTTCCTTTGTGGCAACCACATCGTCCGGATATTTTAGGCGATGTAGTTATCCCAGTGTTTTAAGTAAAAACAAAATTTCTGATTTAATTTCGAAAAAGTTTTAATGGGATTGTTTCAAGGATATACTATTTCAAACAAAAAACATGCAACTAGAATACAAGAAAGCAGTCAAAAATATTTGAAAATCTCTTCTTTTTTTGTAGTAGTTAATTTTTACTACCATAATATAATACTAATACCACGCAAACGATGTTGCGGGCACAAGCTAGTGTTAAATAATGCGAAAAAATTAGAACAGAGTATAGAATCAATCACATCAGACAATAAACAACATTTTTCATTGTTTAAACGACCTAACAATATTCTTGACATACAATTTTATTTTTTTTACAGTATGTAACACGCATCATTTGCATAAACAACTTGTAGCAATGTAAATACAATTTAAAAACACAAAGATTATGTATCTACTTTTTTATTACGATACTATTTTAAATATTCTTAATGAAAAATGTTTAGATCCATTTTGTCACTGGCACTCGCCTCACTCTAGTGGATTTTTCATTAAGACTATTTTTCAGTATAGCATTTTGAAGGCAAAATTGAATTAATATGAGAAAACGAATTTAAATTTCTAACAAGATGAACCCATTTAAGATACTCCACTGTTTTTCTCTTCCAAATGTTTTCAATAACAACAAGAGCATAATCAACTCATACAACGCAAATAAAAAATTATTCTAATCCTATTGGTCTCCGATTGTTTTTGCTTGACGTTTATCCCAATTGATTCTTTGAAATGATGTAACGCAGTGTTCTTCTTCTGAAAAACAGACAAGATTATTTTCAGTGTTCAAACAAATCCACCACTAATATAAATAATAGGGTCTTTCATTATGGGCTTCATATCTTTAATGGAGATTGGCAATTATTACATAGGTAAATAAGACTTATGAGTGATTTTATAGATTAAAACATACAAATTCCAATTATAACAAATTCTATCCCCATAGAAATAGATTTTTTGTTTTTCTTAGATATTAAAATATATACAATTATTGGCCGACCTCAGAAGTTGGGAAAATACATTGATATAAACCAATATTACTTGATAAACACTCTATTTCACGCTGACTCGCCGTTCATTAGCGTTACATTTCTGCCATATTAATTACGGTCATCGTCAGTTTACAAGTATTTCTTTATTAATCGAAGTAATAAGTATAACTAAAATAATAATAGGCTTACACAATGTATTTTAGTTTTTAGTCTTATTCTTTTTTTAGGCCTAGTTACGCCATTCCACTGAAAATAAATCAAAATATGTGACACATAAAAAAAAAAATATATATTACTATTTACATATCATCGACTTTATTCGTTTGAAATGAAAGGCCTATCGACGTCATTGAGATGAAATATGACATCAGTCAAATGTACGCCGTGGCTGCGCTGGGTCTGGCATATCAAATAAAAAAAATATCATCGTAAGTTATATTTTGTAAGATATATTTTTTTATTTGATATGCAGATAAATGACACATTAATATATCGAACCATAAATTTGACGGAAAAGCCATCAAACGTCACACAGAAGTATGCATTGACAGATCTTCCGCTGATTATGCAAGGTTGAATTTCCTTTCATGATATGAGATACTTAAAGAAAAATAATAAAAAAAATCACCTTTACTAATAATCCCATCTGTTTGTGATGCTGCCACTGGCTTAGGTGCCACGCATAACTCAAGTCTTAAACTCTTTAGTTCTGCCACAGACGGCATATCACTCGTTAATGGAGCAACACGTAGTTTGCCAGCAATGAGACGTCCCAGTTTTAATACTGCCTGCGATACAATAAATTATAAAAAACCGACATTAAAGAAACGTAACAAAATTGAAAACAGTAAACTTCTGTTAAAGTCTGGCTAACCACTATCGAGCCCCAAAAAAATATTCACCGTAATTGTATATTTTATGAAAATAAAGGTTTTATGAAATCCGCTTACAGATTTTGTAGGAAACGGTAAAGCTGGTAGAGCGTATATAGGTGGACAGGCTAATATTACACTCAGTGGAACGTACATCTTTAAAACATTGAAAGGCACCTTTGATAATACTGCAAAGAAAATAGTTCGTTATCTTTAGTAGGTACTTCACAGCGAATTTCAAATGCAATCAAATGAAAAACACACACATGGATAAATTCTATTAAAATATCTGTTAGAACTTGAAAATACAGGCTTGAGGTCCGGATAAAAATCTTCTGTCATTTCCCAAATTTTCAAAATCTCTCCTGTACTCGGTCCCTCCACGTACAATAAGACTACATTGCCAACGTCCAAAGCAAATCCTGTTAGTAGTTCATCATTGCTATCTGACTGCAATATTGCGTCATTAATTTCTGTTATTTTCTTTAATATCCTCATAATAGTTGCCGATTGTTTAACCAAACAATACAATCTCGCAAAACATTCTGTCAGCTTCTTTGCTTTACAACCAACAAGGCCCATGGAAACTTCCAAAGTCATTTGAGCTTCTAATACTACATGCGTTGGTATTACTAAATGAGGTCGCATTGGACGCTTAATATGATTTATATCATTATTACAAACAGCTTCTCTTCCTAGCTCTTCAACAGAAACATTCGGAGGGAATAAAGAATACTCCCCTCTAATTAGTTGACTCATGTTCTTGGCCATAGTATGTGCATCAATTTTGGTAACAGCTATAAGAATATCCGTGTCTTCATTATCCAACTTGCTTGAAGAAATACCAAAATTCTGATCACCCTTTTTATATCCAAAAAACCTTGCGCTATCTTTTTGAGGTTCAGATAATCTTATACCACGTAACTGAAATATACTTTTATTTTAGGAAAATTAAGTAATCTTGGTAAAGTTTAGCTTTTTGCAGATTTTTCACTATTATTACCTGTACTTCAAAAGGAGTGTCTAATAGTGTTGCTGTAATTTTAGATAATGTATCAGGATTTAATGGCACAGCATGATGATCATTAAATTTAATTTCCTTTTTAATATTCTTTATATTCTCTGGTGCTGAACTATGTACTTCCTCGCCTACCGTCCATCTTGTGTAAACCTGAGATATTCTAAAAAACTATTTCATTAGAAACATTGTTTTACTTAATTTTTGAAAACTATAAAAATATGATAAAAATATTAAAAGAAAAGTCCTATTAATCCAAACTTGGACCCATTTCTTTTTCTAGATTATTTGGCATATTATAAACGTTTTATCTGTGCAAATTTCATAAATTACTTAGCAACTAAATCTAACCTTGACTTTTTGAAATATTCTGCTGGAATATCTGATAAAGTGTTAACATTTATAAATATTAATGGTCTATCGTCTTGTGCTGGTAGATTGGTACTGCTGATAATTGTTATAAATTCTCCTAAATCGTTTGGTCTTTCGCCGATTGTCTCAAACTGTATCACCCTTCCAACAGCTAGTATGAATTTATTATTCCGAAAACAGATAAATTTTTAATTAAACAAGATAGCCATCTTGTTTAGTTAATAACTTATAACTATTTAGTGATGCTTTAATAAATTTAGATTTTTATTGATGAGTGAAAAGATTTACTTAATTAGATCTTACCGGCCAAAATAGAATCTCCTGACAATTTAATTTCAAATTTTGCTTTAGGTAATTCAGGCTTTTTCTTCTCTTTTTCTTTTTCCTTTTCTTTATCCCTACCTAATTTGGTCTCTCTTCTCTCTCTAAATTTAATTTCTTCAGGCTCTGGTTCTGGTTCAATGTCTTCTTTTATTTTATTTAAAATGGCTTCTTTGACGAAGTAAATTACTGTATCTTGATGTCGAACGTCTATATATTAAATCAGTACATAGCTTGCATTATACACAACTAGTTACCCAGTAATATATTTTCTATAAATGAGCATATTGTAATATCACATCAAAGTACGTTATTATGTTGTATGTACTTATGATTGATAACTATGATGATATATTTGCTACTAATTATAGAAAAGAGTAATGAAACCCTTTATAAAATAAAATCTGTGAAAATTTTCTTTGTATAAATAAAAACCAAAACGCACATCTAAACTATTATAGCAAATCTACGTTACATTGACCATGATAATAGAAGATTAATGAGGTTCATCAATAAACCGATTAATTGCAAATAATTCATTATCTAGCCTCTCATTAAATTAATACGTAAAATTGATATAAAAAACAAAAAAGTGTAAAAATTATGATAACATAATATTGCCAGTGCCTCTCAAACTCACTTTTCGCTTTCATCGGAAAGAACACAAATTTTATGCTCAAGAAAGAAATTAGTATATGAAGAAATAATAGTTATATTTTATTTATCTGCACGGAGACAGAGTCAGCAAAAATGCCATATTTATACCAGTTTACATAACACGAGCTCTTAGATGCTAATTTTATAATGTAAGTGGCCTGTGGTATATGTTCTTTTAAGCTCATTTTTTTATAAGTACACATATCATTTGGTGGTGAACTGGTGATATATTTCAGAAGAAACATCAGTTCTCTATGATCGACATTTTAACTTATCCGAAGCTTTTGCATTCTGATGCTAGTCTTTTTTGTAATACATACCCATAACAGGTTGTGGTATATCAAATACTCCGTCTAGACTTGAAACTGGTATATAGTTTACTACTGAGCTCCATATCAAGTCCACTATATATTCGGTCAATAATGTTTCTCTATCGATAACTGGAGCAAAATATCTTTGGTCACCGAACTTCAACGGTGGCAGATAGACTTCAACGTTCTTATCATTTTTAGCACTGTAGATAATAAAATCTAGTATAAATGTGTTCTTGTAAACTAGTATAACTCTGCTTGTGGTAAAATTATCTCAAAAAAACCGGCCAAGAGTGAGTTGAATTCGCGTGCGGAGAGTTACATAACCATATAGTATACAAAACAACTTATTCTCGGGGTACGTACATGGATCCCAAGCACCCAGTCCCAACTGTAGGAGTGATAGTAGCGGTGAAACTTTGTAACTCCGTCACTCGGACAGGGAAAATATGACGTATTGAGAAAGTAAGAAACCTCTTCTCTAATAACTGCCAGGTTCTTACCCAACCGTATTGAGCACCATACCAGATCTGTAACGTCATATTAGGTTTACTTTCGTGCCGGATACTGTACGAGGATGTCCCAAAAAAATGAAAGTGATTTTTTTTTTCAACGCATATCCTCTCTAACTTTTAAAGATTGGTCATGAAATGATTTTAAAATTCATGTACTTCGGATAACAGTAACCCGTGCCGATTTATATCGAAAGATGTCAGTATTTGACCACGAAGCTCGCAAGGACTTGTATACTTCAGCACGTTGTTTCTAGTTTTTTCAACATTTATGGTATTGTTATATGTATAATTGTGCATTATAAAAAGCTCAAATCTTGCTTTTAACTGACTTCTAGCAGTATTATTTTACAATATCCATGTCGTGAATTTATTAATTTGGGAAAAGCGCAAAAACCGACTACCTCAGAGCGAAACTGTGTAAACTTGTAAATTATCATCAAGTTTGAAAAGACTTAAAAAATGTAAATATAAAAAGAAATCAGTTAAAACAGCGTTGATAAGAACTTGGATAATCTGACATAACTCATGCAGGTGTTATTCATTAAGTCAAAAATTTAAAGATAACACTATAAGATTCAGAATATCAACAATACTTGTTTTAAACTGCATAATATGATGCAAACTTCAGACGAATATATAGTTATATTTTATTATACGTACACATTGTATAAGCAGAAGATACTTGAATTTATTTTTTATTTCAATAATTTCATTTTATTCATCATCATCAACATCATGAGCCTTGTTCGACCAATTTGATAGAGGCCACCTTCACTCTGTTTTATTTGGGGCCGTGAGTATCTAATTTTGAATGCCATCCTTCCATCTCGTCTGCGTGTTTAATTTATAGGTAGCGATTGTTGTTGTGTTAGGACCAAATGGCCCTTCGATGAAATACATTGAAAGGTAGAGTTTCCCTATGAGCACATTGGAGGCGCAATTCGGGTGGAGAAACAGCCCTTCAATATGTGAGGTTCGAGAACTTGCACCTGCCAGCGTCGACTTTTAGACAGACACAGAAACTGAACCTGAAAGAGAAGTTAAATGCCTTTCTAAGGAAGTAAAAAGGCATTTAACTAGAGTATGTAGGTACCACTTTGTTCGGTATCTTTTGGCCATCATGATTCGATTGCTATAGAAATTCTGGTCTTCTGATCAAAAACCCGCGACAAGTGATTTTAGCCTTCCTCGCGTGATGTTAACCTGATACTGCATAAATTCCGAAGAGACTGAAACAGATACATTAATACTTCCAACCAAACTCTCTTAATTTTAGCTGAGTGGCAAAAGATGTGTAAGGTCTAGCGTTATCATGATGAAAACCACACCCCTTCTGTTGATTAATTCTGGCCGCTTTCTCTCAACTTCTTGCTTTAACCTCATCAGTTGTTCACAATAGAATTTAGGATCAATTGTCTTGCCTGGCAGTAACAGGTCATAATAAATAATGACCTTCAAATCCCACTATACACACAGCATCACCGATTCGGAGTCCGATCCGGATTCGGAATTATCTTCTTTAAAATATAAACTTTTTGATGATACCGAAACCAGCCTGATAAAAATGGTATATCCAGAAAAAAAATATTACAAGTTTATGTATACTATCTGCGAAAAGACTTTTCCTAAACTTTTCTTTAACCTAAAATGTCGTCGTGGGTGCAATAACAAATTCGACAATGGGCTGGTGGATAAGGGAGACCAGAAGATGCGAACAGTCGCGCTGAGCTAGGACGTCCAGTGAGGATCGCGAGTCTGATAGGATGAGCGCGTCAGTGTGATTTCTTTATTGCGCTAATTGACAAGCATGCAGAATGGCCGGCATTTCCTGCCAGCCCTCGCGTCGGGGTCAATACACAACAGAGCGCCCTTTGCCGCCCCTCAATCCAGCTTACTGCCATTAGTGCAAATTTGGATAGATCTCGGACTGTAGGTCTGGTCAACTCGATGCTGGCTGGGGACGAATGTGGCTTTGGGAGTAACACGACGCGCTAGGTCTATTATCTTAATTATTAACTAATCTAAATAAAAATAATGAAAATAAAGTATGTTACTACTAACTCCTTGTTTTAAAAAATGTTTAGTAAAATATCTACGTTTGTATTAATCACATGATGCAGCTTCTTCTAGTATTGTTGATATTTTGAATTTTGATCTAGTTAGTTATTGACTTAATACAATTTGATAATAAGCAGTCGACTTAGTAAACTGTAAACATTCAAATTGCCTACAGTTTACTAAGTGTTGAGATTTTGAACTACTGATCTTATGGTGATGATTTTTTAATTTTTGATATTAAGTTTTTTGACTTCATGGATGACACCTTGCTCATGCTGACTATAGGCAAACCATTTAACTCGCCTGCGGGGCTAGAGGTAGGTGGGCGCGGAAGAACTCACAGACGTTTCGGAAGTGAAGGCGCGCGCGCGCGGCAGGGAGCACAAGTAACTGCCATTAGTACGATTTAAATCGTATTTGTACGATTTTTTGTAGATTTCATACGAACACGATCGAAACTTTGAAATCGTACGGAAACGTACGACTTTTTCATGTAATTGGTTTAAATTCTGATAATTAAAACTAATTTGTCAAAGAAATTTAAACAATGAAACGAACGTGCCCAGCTAACCACTCTATTGCTTACTAAAGACAGGCGTTATGGTCTCTGACCTTAGCCTGTCCAATGAACAAACAAAAAAAAACACTCTATTGCAATTTCTTAAGGGGATTTCCCTTGTATTCTACTTTCTACATACATACATATTATTATGAATGTGTCAGTAAGCTTATTGTAAACAAGGTTCTTATTTGTTTTCATATTCATTGTAAAAGTAAAGCGAGTTGAAAATCGAGACAAAGCCGATTTTATTTGTTATTTTAAATCGTGGAAACTCTTGTGTGTATCTGTGTTGTGTTAAAATGAGTGACGAAAGTGATACCGAGCGTCCTCGTACTCCAAAGTACAAATTAGCTCGCAGAGGCGAACTTGCGGCATCTGATAAAGATAAGCAGCACAGAGCGCAGAGGTACCGTCCAGACTGGGAAAAGTTGCATTTATTTAAGGATTGGTTGAGACGGGGTAATAATGAATATAAAGCCAAGTGTATCGTTTGTGATGTAGAATTAGTATCCGAATACTCTGTTTTAAAGACACACACTACACGTCAAAAACACATTAAAGCTTTGTCCACCGCACCGAGTACTTCAAAACAGCGTAGTATAATGTCATTTGTTAGTAAAGAAGTGCCCAAAAATAAAATTGTTGCAGCAACAGAAATTAAATTGGCTGGTTTCATAGCAGAGCACAACATAGCTTTCCAAACAGCAGATCATATATCTGATTTAATAAACGGAATATTAGAGTCATTCGGTATAGAAAACAAAATTTCAATGAAAAGAACAAAAGCAACATCTGTAGTTACGGAAGTAATAGGGGAAACTGAAAAATCATCACTGGTCGACAATTTAACTAAAGGAAAATTTAGTGTCTTATCAGACGAATCCACTGATATCAGCACTCACAAAGCGAGCTGCATAATTGTGAGATATTTTGATCCCAATCAAAATAAAATTGTCAGTAAGTTCTGGGAGCTATGTGAATTATTTAATTCTGAAAATCCTCAAATGTCAGAAGAGGGCGCTACTGGAGAGAATTTATATAAGATTTTGATGAAATCCTTTTCTGATCGCAATATTCCAACCGAAAATATAATCGGCTTTGGTGCTGATGGGTGCAATGTTATGATGGGCGCAAACAACTCAGTTGCAAGCAGATTAAATGAGAACTTGCCTGGTATTTATATAATTAAATGTGTTTGCCACTCTGCACATCTGTGTGCTTCAGAGGCATGTAAGCAGTTACCACGTCGCTGCGAGGACTTGGCCAGAGAAATTTATGGTTTCTTTAAAAATAGTTCCAAGAGACAAAGCCGTTTTCAACAATTCCAACAATTTCTTAACGTATCGCCACATAAGATTTTACACCCATCTCAAACTCGCTGGCTATCTTTGGTAGCTGTTGTGGACCGGCTGTTAGAGCAGTGGTCTGCACTAAAACTTTTTTTCACTGACTGCTGGTTAAACGAACGCCTAGTTTCAACAGAGTTGATCCACAACAGTTTGAACGATCCATTTATGCAACTATTTTATAAATTTTTATCCTGGATTTTGCCGAAATTCACAAATTTCAATAAACTTTTCCAGTCAGAAACAGTAGTAATAACCGCATTAAATGAAAAGGTACGTGAAATGTACAAAGATATTTTACTTTGTTTTCTTGATCGAGATTATGTGAACCGCACTGAGCTATCTGCAATTGCTGTTGATTGCAAAGAAAAATGGTTAAAAGACGATCAGATGTACCTCGGAATACAAGTGATGAACATAGTGACACAGCCCGACATTGTTCGACAAGTCCCAGCACGCAAAGATTTTTTTCATCGATGTCGTCAATTCTTGATTACCAGTGCAAAAGAAATAAAGAAACGTTATGATTTAGACGATCCTTTACTTTCGAAAATTGAATGCATTGAGCCTATTAATGCTGTATCCACAAATTTTAGAAACAAGATGCCATCTTTGCTGCCAATAATGACGCTTGTTCCACGAATTGTTAGTCCTGAAAATATTCAAGAAATGCAATCAATAGATGACGAATGGCGTAGCTTCCCTAACGTCATTGAAAAAGAAGACTTGACGCTTAGCCCAGACGAATTTTGGGGACAAATCAAGCAAAGGTTTGAACAATATAAAACTTTGGCGCAGTTTGCCCTAAATTTATTGTGCTTACCGCACTCCAGTGCTGATTGCGAAAGAACGTTTAGTGAGGTCAATTTGATAAAAACCAAACTTAGGAATAGTTTGACCAACAAAACAGTCAATGGGACCTTACTTGCGAAGCAATTGATTAGAGCCAGTGGGAACTGCACCGACTTTAAACCTACTGATAATATGATAAAACTTATGAACACAGAAAATCTGTACAAAAAAAAATAGTTGCTTGAATTTATTTCCATCTTACATTTTATAAATTTCTATCATAAAAGTAACTGTTATAATTATCAATGATTATCAGTATTAATTAAATAGATATCTAACATTTGTACGATTCTTTTTTTTATGTTTTCCTTGAGCGTACGACTTTTTTTATGCTGTGGTACGATTCCCTTATTTTTTCGTTTCTCAGTACGCTAGCGGCTCTCGCGGCGTGCAGTCGGCTTTTTGGTTACGGACGCTCGGCACAAGATCTATACGAGATTAGTTTTCCTGAGATATTTTCCAAGATGAACGCTGAAGGACGGTCCAAAATTTTTGCTAAAAAAATTAACAAGCAAGCTAAACAATTAGTATACAATGTTTATTCTTTCTTTCAACAAAGAAAACAAGATCAAACTTCCACGGAATTTTTACAAGATGTAAACCTGCACAAAATCGTCGCCCAAGCAACGCAAATATCACTGTCTACTGTGAGTAAAATCATCAAAGAAGGAAATGATCTGGAACGCGACTTATTTCATTTCATTTCACTATGTAAGTGAAATGAAATGAAATGACAAAGTTTATTATTTATTTGGCATCCGAGTAAGATATCTCGGGATTTATCTCGAAACAAGTCATTACGTGTGTACCGATACCCGCGCCCACCTACCTCTTACCCCGCAGGCGTCCCGCGAGTTAAATGGTTTGCCTATAACATATTAAAAAACTGAAATTTGAAAAGTTCGAAACCTAGATATCAATACAAATACGAAATTCGTGTCTTGAGTTTTGAAAACTAATTTACTTTTAAACATGAAAGAAAACCGGAAAGGTTGTCATGGAAATATCAAGAACGTACCGTAACCACATCTAGTTTGCTTTCAAACAAATATATATTTAAAACACTTCCTCATTGTTGTTACGTTGTGTACAAAGAACACCAATTATATTTATCTTTATTATAAAAAAACAAATATTGAGAATGAAGTTTATAGAAGGTTACTTAATGTTAAAATATCATGTACACATATAGAAAAAGAAAATCGGAATTACGACTTAAGTGACATAATATTTCCATAAAAAAATATGAAGTCA